TGCTGCTTGGCCTGCTGTGTTCATCCAGCCCTGCACCTTGTTGTCTCATATTCTCTTCTGTATATTGTTTCTGCCCATTTATTCCTTCTTCACTATAGTTTTCTCTCCATCCCCTTTGTATATTCTCACGCTCTCTTGTAGAGCACGATTGCCCCTCCTCCTCCTCCCTTCCTCCTGTAGAAGCTCCCTCCCTCCTGTAGAAGATCCCTCACACCCTCCCTCCCTCACTCCTGTATTAGTTCCCTCACACCCTCCTTTCCTCCTGTCGAAACTCCCTCACACACACACTCACTCCCCCTCCCTCCTGTAAAAGCTCCCTCACACACTCACTCTCTCTCCCCCGGATATAAATTCCCCCACTCACTCTCTCCTTACCTACCTCCCTCCCTCCTCTAGAAGCCCTCTCACTTTCTCTCCTTCCCTCCTGCAGACGTTCCTTCATTCTCCCTCTCGATCTCTCCCTCCCTTCTGTATAAGTTCTTTCATTCTCTCCCTCTCCCCTCCCCTCTGTATAAATTCCTTCATTCTCTCTCTGTCTCTCCCCCTTCTGTATAAGTTCCTTCATTCTCCCTCTCTCTGCCACCTCTGCGGAGTTCTTGCTCTGAACAGGCAGTGCCGCAGGCAGCCCGACCTCTCATCGAGGACCCCGGTAACCATGGTGCGCAAGCTGAAGTACCACGAGCAGAAGCTGCTGAAAAAAGTCGATTTTATCTCCTGGGAGGTGGACAATAACCTGAGCGAAGTGAAGGTGCTACGCCGGTACCGCATCCAGCGCAGAGAGGATTACACCAAGTGAGCATGAGAGCGGCTCAGGCGGCCGAACGGGTGGACGGGGTGGAAACACAGGGCGCTGCCATGTTGGCCAGGCCTTAGCAACGGATCCGTGCTCCCCTGAAGACAGTTCCCACCCTCCCCTGGCAACGACACACTGCCACCCCTTCTCTGCAGGTCACTCCACACAGTAGCCTGAGGCTAGAATCGAACCTGGGTCCCTGGCGCTGTGAGGCAGCAGTGATGACCGCTGAGCCACCGTGCTGCCCCATGAGACATCTCTGATGGCTGTCGGGAGTGTATTCTTCCTTTGCCCTGTGCTTGAGCTCCTTCTACAGATCCTTTAGCCTTCATGTAGGGTATTGTCAGTTTAGTCATCTGGCCAAAGATCACCTGGGTACCTGAATGTCTTGCCCTCCAAGTCTAATCTCTGATTTGATTTTATTTTAGTTTTTATTGCAGCATATGCAATGAAGAGCTTTGTTTATGAACGGTACAGGCAGATCACAGCAAGCGAAGGATGTACAGATCAAAAAGACTTAGAGGCATATAGGTTACATTGCATGTTAGAATATTTGAGGCTGGAGTCCATTCAACAGTTTGATAATGGCGGGAAAGAAGCTGTTCCTGAACCTGCTTGTGTATCTGTTCAGGCTTCTGTATCTTATGCCTGACGGAAGAGGTTTTAGGAGGTCATTACCAGGTATAATGGTTCTTTGATGATGTTGGCTGCTTTTCTGCGGCAGCAAGCCGTATAAATGGAGTCAAGGTCGGCACGGTGGCTACAGCGCCAAGGGCCTGGGTTCGATTTCCCCCTCGGGCAACTGTCTCTGTGGAGTTTGCACGTTTTCCCCGTGTCTGTGTGGGTTTTCTCCAGGTGCTCCGGTTTCCTCCCACAGCCCAAAGATGTGCGGGCTAGGTGGATTGACCATGCTAAATTGCGCGTAGTGTTCAGGGATGTTTAGATTAGGTGGGTTTGGGGAATGGGTCTGGGTGGGATGTTCTGAGGGTCGGTGTGGACTTGTTGGGCTGAAGGGCCTGTTTTCACACTGTAGGGATTCTATGAATAAAATCTATGAGCCTGTGGATGGAAGGTTAGCTTCGCTGATGGTCTGGGCTGTGCACACCACCTTCTGTAGTTTCTTACGGTCCTGGGCAGAGCAATTGCCATACTGGGCCATTATGCAACTGGACAGTATGCTTTCAATGGTGCATCTGTAGAAGTATGAACGTGCCAAATTTCCTGAGCCGCCTGAGGAAGAAGAGGTGTTGTGCCTTTGTTACTGTTGCATTTATGTGGGAAGTCCAGGACAGGTCATCGTTTATCGTCACTCTGAGGAACTTCATGCTATTCACTCTCTCAACCTCAGTTCCGTTGATGTAGCTGGGGAACGTGTTCTTCTCCTTTCTTTCTGAAGTCGATGATCAGTCCTTTAGTTTTCCCGACGTTGAGAGACAGATTGGTGATATGGTGCAATGAAAACAAACTGTCGGTCTCCCTTCTGTATTTTGACTTGTCGTTGTTAGACATTCGTCTCACCTATGGTGGTGTTGTCAGTGAACTTGTAGATGCTCTACATTGTGCGGTGTAGTATTTTCAGTCCTGCCCTGCATCATCACCTGGTATGTGTAATGGAGGTACATGCTGGACATCAGGCAAAGTAGCATCTGAAAAGGCATGTTTAAATTTTAACTATGTGTCCACTTGAAAGTTTAAGGCAGGAAAAGATGAGAGAATAGAATTGATAGCCCTGGTTATTCCAAAACTTGAACATGCAGGACAGAAGGAGGCCATTGGTTCATTGTGCTTGTGCCAGTTCTTAAAGGCAGCTATCCAATTAGTTTCTGTCCTTTGCTTTATCTCAACCCTAAAATTTATTTTAACTTTTAAGCCTATATTCACTGAACTTTCTCTTCAAAGATACTGTGAATTATTCTACATCTATTTGAGAAGACTGTCCAACAACGTCTCGATTCCTAAAATGACTTAAAAGTTTCCTTAGAGTTAGGATCCAGACTTGGGAGTTAGGAATTGGAGGAATGAAATGTTAGAAATAAGAAAAGTTACAATGAGGTAAAATAGCTTACAGATGCTGCCAAAATACAAACAACAATTATTTGGAAAATTTACGGTTTGTAATGCTGTGAGGCTCCAGCACAGACTAACCTTCTAATGGAAGTGCACCCAAGCATCCTGCCTGTTGACTTCTGTGCCTGCCTGTTAAAATTTCAACTCCTTGTTGGTGTACTAATCAACTCTGCTTCCTTCTACTCTCTTGTGTGCAGTATGTGCATTGGGTATAATAACATAATCATTATGTTACTGGACCGGTGAGACTAATTGACCCAAAACAGGAGTTCAGTTCTCATCATGACAGTTGAGAAATTTAAGTTCAGTTAAATAAATTTAGAATAAAAAATACATCAGTAATAGCAAGCATGAATCTAGTGCTGTAAAAACCCACCTGGTTCACAATGTCTTTTTGGGAAGCAAATCCTTATCTAACCTGGACTACAGGTGATTCTCCATCCGTAAAAATATAAGTAACTATTTTTTGTGTGGATTAGCATTATGAATTGTTTAGTGTTAGCTTAATCACTGTAAGAACACAAGTACACCCTGCCCATTTGACTCTGCAAAGTTCTTGTGCCAGATTTGTGAGAGCTCTATGTCCTGTTCCATCTGCAGGACAGATTTGCCAAGGGTGGTAGAACAGAGGCCCTTTGAATCATCAGCAAGTTTATACTTGGGATAATTTCTATTTTCAAGTTCTATCTATGTTTTTATTTTGTATCATTTCAAGTTTTTGACCTGAGAAATGTGTCCTAAAGTGGTTGACTCTGGACCTCATGAAGTCTTATGGCTTCAGATGAAAGAGAATATGCATCATTCTACTGGACCAGCACTGATTTAGTAAGGAGTGTGAGAAAGCAAGTAAGGAGTGTGAGAAAGCATGCAAGGAGGAGCAATGGGTAGACTTTATTGATGTGCTAACATGCTGAAGCTGTAGCATTGAACTACATCTAAGCCAAACAGTTGAACTAACATGATCAAATGTTGCTGAGAAACTCAACATGTCTGGCAGCATTTGTGGAGAGAAAGCATGATAGTCCAGTGACCCTTCTTTACAAATAACATGCTATGGGTAGAGCTAAACTATACCACAAGTGACAGATAGGATTAAAATCTTGCAGCCCAGCCATGGAAGATGTGAATAGTTGAACAGCTGATGAGGGGAAAGAGCTCCATGGACACTCCATCTTCAATTATTTGGGTGCTTAGCATTTAAATGAAAAAGAACAGGTACAAATGTTTGCAGCCATCTATGGCAAGAGTGCTGAGTGGGTGATCCATCTCTTGAGGTCCCCCTTGCATGGATGACAGTCTTCGGCCATCTGTTTGCTTCATGTGATACCTAGCTGCAGCAAAGTTTATAATACCCTGTCCATAATACCCATAGTTGGTGCTGAAGATTTTTCCTTCAGGTCTAACATCATTCTTAACCATTCCGTTCCTTGTGACTTCAACATTATCGATACGGAAAATTGCCCAAGTATGTCTCATCCGCAATAAGTAGGACAAATCCTATCTGACCAGTTACCACTAATCTCAATCGTAGCGAAGTGATGGAAGATATCATTGACACTGCATTCAAGAAGCATGTACTCAGTAAATATCTGCTCACTGGTGCTTGGTTTGGATTACGCTAAGACAACTCAGTTCCAAAATAATTATGGGAGAGAGGGGGAGGCGGATAGAAGATGGATAAAGGAGAAGATAGGTGGAGAGGAGACAGACAGGTCAAAGAGGCGGGGTTGGAGCCAGTAAAGGTGAATGTAGGTGGGGAGTTAGGGAGGGAATAGGTTGGTCCAGGGAGGACGGACAGGTCAAGGAGGAGAGATGAGGTTAGTGGGTAGGAGATGGGGGTGGGGCTTGAGGTGGGAGGAATGGTTAGGGAGGTGGGGACGAGCTGGGCTGGTTTTGGGATGCAGTTGGGGGAGGGGAGATTTTGAAGCTTGTGAAGTCCACGTTGATTACCTTGGGCTGCAGGGTTCCCAAGCGAAATATGAGATGCTGCTCCTGCAGCTTTCGGGTGGCATCATTGTGGCAATGCGGGAGGCCTGGGATGGACATGTCGTCCAAGGAGTGGGAGGGGGAGTTAAAATGGCTCGCGACTGGGAGGTGTAGTTGTTTGTTGCGAACTGAGCGTAGGTGCTCCGCAAAGCGGTCCCCAAGCCTCTGCCTGGTTTCCCCGATGTAGAGGAGGCCACAACGGAAACAGCGGATACAGTATACCACATTAGCAGATGTGCAGGTGAACATCTGTTTGATGTGGAAGGTCTTCTTAGGGCCTGGGATGGGGGTGAGGGGTGAGGGGGGAGGTGTAGGGGCAGGTGTTTAATACAGTATACCACATTCTGCTTGGCCTGCTGTGTTATATTCTCTCCAACATAGGTGTTGGAGACAGGAACCCTTGTAGCAGTTAAGAAGTATTTAGATATACATTTACGATGCTAAGGCATACAAGGCTGTGCTCCAAGTTCTGAAAAATTGGATTAGAATAATTGGGTGGTTGTTTTTGACCATCACAGATTATATGACCCTCAGGGCCTTTTACTGTACTGGGGACCTCTATGAGTTTATAAGGTTTGAAATGTGGATATTTGCTGATGATTGAATCTGAATGTAGTGACATCACAACTCCATGGAATCTCAAACAACCCATGCCTGCCTGCAGCAAGAGTAAAATGTTCAGGCTTCAGCTGATAGGTATTAAGTAGCATTGCTTGGCACTTGTGTGACAGGAATGAATATATCTGCATGAGAAAACCTAACCATTGTCTTTTCACATTAGCACCACTAATTTCCCCCACTGTTAGCCTTTGGTGGGGTTTTCATAGACCAGAAATTTAACTGAATGAGCTGAAAAAAGTATGACTACAAGAGAAGGTCAGAAGCTTAGAGATCTGTGGCACATAACTCACCAGACTCCTCAAAACCTGTCCACTGTCTGCAAAGT